CAGGATTAGAGTCCGTGAGTTAACTCTTTTATGGGAGTTCTGTTATGCATGGGAGAATAGACAGAGGACAATGACTAGAACAGGATGTGGAATCAGTCTAGTCATCTTTTGTAAGATAGGAGAAATGAAATGACCTGATAGTAAAAAAATTGATACTTTATAAGAATGATGGGAGAAATGCTAAAGGGTGTCTCTGAGAGGTAATAGTGATAGGACATTTGTTGTTGTTGTTAAGTGCCATCAAGTCGGATTCGACCCATAGCGACCCTATACAGGGTTTCCGAAGAGCTACTGGTGAGCTTGAACTGCCAAGCTTGCAGTTCAAACGGCCTTGCAGTCTGGCGCATTAACCCACAGCACCACACCAGGACCCCAGGGATGGGACATAGGAAAAACTAAATCTCAGTGAGATTTTGCTTTTTCTTGTAATCATTTATCTTCATTTAAATTTATCTCAAATTTACTATGCTTTCTGTTAGGATACGAATTGGGCTGCTAACCTCAGGGTCAGCAGTTCGAAACTACCAGCTGTTCCGCAGAAGAAAGATGAGGCTTTCTGCTCCTATAAAGATTTACAGCCTCGGAAACCCTGTACAGGGTTGCTATGAGTCGGAACTGACTCCATGGCACATAACAACGACAAATTACAAAACCGTAAAACTTGTATTTAAAACTTGTGGATTGTACTACTATCACCTTGTTTTAGTAGGGGAAAATAAGAGATTAGATATTCTGGGTAAGGTGACATTTTAAAGTGACTTTGATAATTATCTGTGTATTCTAGCATTTGTCAAAATTTATGACTATGAATACAGACTATAAAGTTAATCATTTAAAATTTGTAGTTGTTATTAAGTGCTGTCGAGTCAGTTCCGACTCATAATGACCCCATAAAGTGTTTCTGAGGAGTGGCTGGTTAGTTTGGACTGCTGACCTTGTTGTGCAAACCGACCTTGAGAGCCATTCCTTATCCTACAGTGCCACACTAGGACTCCAAAATTTGTATGGGGTGACTTGAATTCTAGCCTAATTTAAACCATGATCTAATCTTGACCTTGTTCTATGTAAAACTTGTTTATTGCATAATCTTCATATGCAAAGGGTATGGATAGTTTATAAACAATACTTGTTGCTATTGTTATGTGCCGTGGAGTTGGTTCCGACTGCGCAGGGTTTCTGAGGCTGCAGATCTTCAGGGGAGCAGAAAACCTGGTAGTTTTGAACTGTCGACCTTGAGGTTAGCAGTCCGATTCGTAACCGCTATGCTAAAGTGATTATTAATCACTTGAGGTTTACGTATAACATTAAGATTTTTGTAATCATAAACGAAATCTGCTTTGTTTCTTTACCAATTCTAATTAAAGCAACTTCCTGTGAAGTTCTAGAGAGGTGTGTAATCTCCAGTTTGCAAAAAAAAATCATGTGACGTTATAGTAACAAGATAATTTTCAATCTCTGAAACAAAAATAATGTCATTTACTCTGATTTATGTGTTTTGAACATATTTTAAAAGAACAAACATATTTAAATTTTCAAATAAATATGGTTCAAATTCTTAACCACCTTAGTAGCTACAAGTGTGGAGTAGTGTACTCAAGAAGTACATTTAAATGAAATTTTCTTAATGTGAGGAACTAAAATTTGCATTTCAGACTCAGATCTTTTTTGTATGTGGGTAATGTAAGAAGTATACTTTGTACGTAAATCTTTTTGCCGTTCAGTCTATTAAATTATAGGAATAAATGATGTGTTTTGCTTTTCCATCAGTTTCCAAATGGTAGTCAGTTAATAATTGGTAATCAGTCTTCAGAAAAAACATTTTGGTAGTTCTCATACACAGTATATAGTTAAGTGCTCGGAGCTAATTGAAAGGTAGACAAGATGTGTGGGGAAGTCTGCTGCCATGAAGATTGTCGTTGTTAAGTGCAGTTGAATAATTCCCTGTATAGGGGTCCCTAGCAGTGACTCGTGGGTGTGAACTGCCAGCCTTGTAGTTGTTGTTAAGTGCTGTCAAGTCAGTTCTGACTCTGATCCTATATAGGGTTTCTGAGGAGTGGCTGGTGAGTTTGAACCGCTGAGTTCTGGTGTGGTGCTATAGGATAAGCACTGCACTATAAAGTTGGTTGTAGTTAGTAGTCCAGGGCTTTTCTCTTGGGAACTCTATGGGGCCGATCTACTCTGTTCTGTAGGGTTACTGTGGGTTGAACGGCAACGGATTTGGTTTAGGAAGTCCTAAAAGTAATTTACTCTTTTTTGGGGTATCTGAACCTCTGTGAATCTGATTAAAGCTGTGGGTGGATCCTGTTTCTAGAAAACTGTATCTGTGCTCATATATAGACTTTACCATAGAGTATTGTGGAGTTTACTGGCCTGTCTGAAGCCTATTCAACAGGATCCTTTTAGCTATAAAGAATCTTTAAGTTTTAACTTGACTGGACAACACGTGACGATAACAATAACAATCGTTAACTCTGTGGAGTCCTGGTGTAGTGCCATAGGATAAGCACTGCACCTCAAGGTCAGTTTGAACAGCCATGTCAGTGGTTCAAACTTGCCAGCTGCTCCTGGGAAACCCTATCCAGGGTCACTATGAGTGGGAACTGACTTGACAGCAAGCACTTAAAAGCAACAACAAGCTATCTGTGTGGAGTTGTGGAGGCTCAGTAGGATAACCACTGGACTGATAACCACAAGGTTGGCAGTTCAAGCCCACCAGCCATTTCCCTAGAGAAAGACGACGTTTTCTGCTCCCGTAAAGATTTACAGCCTCAGAAACCCTATACAGGATTGTTATGAGTTGGAACCACCTCCAACTTAATAGCACTTAACAACAAGAAGTTAGCTGTGTGCCCTCTGGGAAAGTTACTTAACCTCTCTGACTTTGAGTTCTTATGCCAGTCCAGCAGGTATATAAGCACCTTCATGATATCATGGTAACAGTCTTCTTCAGTGTGGGGTTGGCTCTGCTATGGATTTTTAAAGGAAATGTCTTGGAGATAAGGTATAGGTCCCTGGTGCTCTTTTTACTGGCTGTGACTTTTATTAGAAGAGGTATTACTGTGTAAATAGAAATTAAAATCGTAATCTCACCCTAATGGCATTGAGTTCCAGCCTATTTTATATATCCTGGGTGCAGGCCTTTGTTGGTTATGTGTTTCAGTTGTCTTCTCCAATTCTGTGGCTTGCTTTTTCCCTCTCTTAATGGGGTTTTTGTTTGTTTGTGTTTGTTTTTGATGAACAGAAGTTCTTTAATTTTCATTTAGTCCAATTTATCAGTCTTTCCCTTTTCATTATATTTTAAAGCAGCAATATTTCACTTTGTAATCAACAATTTGGATAAAAGCAGTGTTAGAAAGTCATTCATTTAACAAATAATGCTGTGGAAGATCAATGCATAAGAATTTATCCCCAGCCTGAAAGAGTGAACACTAAAGACATAATAGGGAAATAAGCCTGGAACAGATAGTTTAAGCATCCATTCAGTCAGTTGGTTCATTTAACGAACATTTACTCTGTACCTGGCACTGTTCTAGGCACCTTTTAAGTGGTACAGAGTCCTGTAGCTATCTGTAATGATGAGAAGTCACTTTTTAATAACCTCATCATTCTACAGATTGTTATGTGACTTTGCCTTTGGTTGGAAGTCATTCTAACCTTGGTAATTAAAATGTCATTTATAAGGACCTAAGAATTTGCTGCTAAAGAAAAGAGGCTAAAACAGCAAATTGGATTTCTTTTGGAAATGAATGTTAACTGCATGAACTGGACACTCTTAAATTACTTACTGTGTGCTTGATATGACTGTGTATATTAAAACAAAATTTATTTATAATCTGAGTGACAGGGAGAGCTTTTGAAACATACCCAGAGGAAATTAATCACTAGTGGAGTTGGTAAGTGTTGACATGTTGGTTCTGACTAATAATGACCCTGTATAGGGTTTTCAAGGAACAGCTGGTGGGTTTGAACTGCCACCCTTGTGATTAGCAGTCCAGGGCTTATCCTACAGCACCACACCAGGCACATCATTCAAACAAGTGTACTATGTTTAGGGCCGGAGAAAGTCTGCTCTCAAACATACAGTATTTAAATTTCATATGTCATGCTCCCAAGCATTTGAGAGTATGGTGCATGAAATTTAAATAATTTCATGCTAAAATATCAGGGGACAGATTTCTGGTTTTGTTTCTTAAATTTTATTTGGTTAGAAAAACAAGTCTAGGACAAAGAATGTTAAAAAATTCAAAATGTTAAAAATAAACATTATAGCTTGATTTGACTTTTCTGACCTTGATATCAACTTAGTGAGCTTTTAGTTCATCTTTATTGTAGTACTTAAAGAAAGCACAAACAACAAAATATCACTGAGCTTTGGATCCTAGATCTTAAAACCTTTATTTTCTTTGACTCTGTCATTGAATAAGATAAAGGGCATACTGAAAGTGTGTGTGACTTATAGTCTAAAGTGGTAAGACTTCAAGAATGTGAGTAAACAGTTTCATTAGAATTCTGACTGTACATTATTGTAAAGTATTATGAATTTCTAAATCTTACATAAGGCAAATCCATTTTAAGGTTAATAGAAAAGCCTTTTAAGTTGACCAAACCTAGGGCTGTTGATGTTAACTTAAGTTGGTAATATAAAGCAACTGGTAGTAACACAGTGAAGGGCATTTGTTAGGAATGAGAGTGTATCTGTATGTTGTCCTTTAGATGAGGAGTATTTCCTTTCTGTGAGTCTCTTTGGGAAGGGAAACGTCAGCTACTTTTTCTTGAAAAAAACTGTACAAGAGTAAATACTTAACTGCCTTTGAGTTCTTTCCTTGCTGTAAAAACTCTCCCTTCTCTTTTTTATTTTGGGTTTAAAACTTTGGAGACTTTTATATAGTTTGATTTTTCCTTTTTCAAATCAGACAGAAATATTTTCATCTTCAGTTTTTGACGACTGGTCATAAATCTGTGATTGTAGTCTAATCCCACTTCTCCTTCTTCTGTTATAGGGGGATAGAGAGCTGAAGGAGAACAACTTTCCCCCAAAATTGGTAAGTACTTTTATGAGGCAGGCATAGTGTGCTTGATGCTAGCTGATAATCATTCAAATGTTCAATGATTTTTTTTTTTTTTTTGCAAAAAAGCTTTCTCACAGAAATGAGGCTTTGCTGTTTACACTGAGTGAAAGTGATTTTTTTGTCTAATTTCACCTAGCCATATCTCAAATGCATTTGTGTTTCTAATAATACTGCTAGGCTTGCATGTTCCTGCATTCGATAACTTGTTAAAATGTAAAGTTCCTTTTTGCCAAGAATGTCCTTAATGCAGTAGTTAGGACTGAGAATTGAAAAGTCAGGAAATTCGAAAGTTAAGGTCCCCATTGTGTTTTGTATTACTTAATATACTGTTAAATTTGATGGCTGTAGTATGTGTGCAAAATGGCTAGGGTAATGTAACTGTGGTACTCTTGACTTTGAAATTTTGGACTCTTAAGCATTTATATTCTTAAACTTAGTGTTGGAATGGCTTCAGAGATGACATTACATTTTTAGTGTGTTGTTTTGTGTTATTTTTAAAGAGAAAAACGAAAAAGAGAGAGAAACATTATTACTGTGTTGGGCATATAAGCAAACACATTTTTTCCTAATATTAAATATCTACTGTAATACATTTTTTTAAAATGGCTTATTAATTCATCACACTTAATCGTTTCTTTAAATATGTAATTCAAGAGTACAAATTACACAGGGCAGTCTAATAACTAAGCATCAAACAAATACTAACCTTAATTGGTGTGTATTACAATAAAAATTAAACTTGAAGCTAACTGGAGTAGGGTAGTTTGCTGATGCAAGGCTACTCCTTTTGATGAAATTCTTTCACGAATAGTAATTAACTTAGTGGCTTTACCTAAGGCTAACATTTTCCTAAGGCTTATAGTCCTTGAGGTATCTCTTACCTTTTAGGGTTTGGGCTTTGAAAGTGAAAGGAAAGCATTTGAATTGGTTAGCCTTGCATTTTACTAACTTGTTATTCTGTTTGCCTTTTTCACATGGACCCTTTTAAAATAAATAATCAAGACCCTACTAGTGCTTTACTTTGAGATATGATAAAATCGTAGAGTCTTAGAAAGAACCTTAAAGGTCTTCTCTTCCAACCTTTTACTGTGTGTGGCAATTTCTTGTCCTATGTTTCTGGCAGGTTGTTACTCAAGTGTGTATTGGATACTGCATTTTAAAACAAAGCTCATTATTGTGTATAATGCATTCTGAGGAACTTTAGTTCCACGGAGATGGTGATATTACTGTGGTAGGGTGGGGGTGGGGAAAGGGTTCTGTGATCAAATAATTTGGGAAATGCTGGGTTAAACAAAGTTAAACAGGTTTCTTTACTGCAGGACTTCTCAGAACCTTTAATATGCTAATGTGCATTGTGAATCTCCAAGAGGGGGATATGATATGCAGCATTCTTGAATACTTCTAATGACAGGGAGCCCACTACCTCATAAGGTAACCCATTCCTTTTTTGTACAGCTCTAATCCTTAGTTCTTCCTTATAGTGGTCTGAAAACTATCTACCATAACTCCCACCTATTTCTGTTATAAGTTCCTACTGGCTATACTAAGACCATCACACCCTCTAATGTTATCCTTTGTGTGATAAATATTTATGTGATTCTGGCTAGCCTTCTATGGACATTCGGAATGCCTCTAAGCATTCTGGTACATGTGGCAACCAGTTCTAAAATCTTGGCCTCATTGTTATTATGCTTAGATACACTCCAGTATCCTTCATTTTGAATTTCTAAATTTACTTAATGGCCTTGTTGTTGGGAGTAGTTGGGATGAATTTAGTGGGCATGCTTGATTTCTGTAAAGAAAGATGGACAATAGATGAATGCATGTTGCTGGGCACCAGGAAGCAGAGGTCAAAACAGTTTTGAGTGTGGGTGGTCAGGAGTGGTGCAGGATACTGGAGCAGAGCTGTGAAGAAGAGGGTACTGGGGGGATAGCCCTAACTTGCCCCCAAATATCATGAAAGCCTTTGTGCTGGAGGGGTAGGATCTGTGTAAAAGGTATTCGGGTGTGTGTGTGTGTGTGTGTGTGTGTGTGTTTGAAAAAAGAAACCTCCTACCACTCCCCCAAAACCTCAGAAAGATGCGTATTTTATATTCAAACTTATTCAGACATTCAAATAAAATTAATTTTATATGACTGTGCATGGATATACCTGCTCCTCCCTTATCTAGTTTCTTGTTATTGGACATTCCACACTTACGACCATAGCAAAAAACTACTATCCACCTGTTTTATGCGTTAATGACATACATCTGACAGTAATGAACACCAGGGTGCAAGGCAAGAGTAACACTGGCTCTGATGATAAAAGTCATGGGTCACCTTGACTGAGGCAGGATTCTCCGTTGTCTGGCAGTTGTGTAATGATACAGTCATCCTCTATTTTCTGGTCTGATTTGGTCCTTCTCCCTTTTTACATAATGCAGATTTTCACCTAATGACCTGCTCTATGGAACTTGATCATGTCTATAAGTGAGCAGCAGGAGTGTATGTATATGTGCTGCTGTTAAGTGTCATGCAGTTGGTTCTGACCTTGTAGAGAGTTTCTGAGGTGTGGCTGGTGAGTTTGAACTGCCAGCCTTGAGCTTAGCGGTTCGGTGCTTATCCTACAGTGCCACACTAGGACTCTATGTATGTATGTGTGTGCGTATATATATGTGTGTGTGTAATGTATGTATGTATATTTTTATTTACTTAATAGTTAGGAAACATCAGCACCTGTAATACCAGACTTTGAACATAGTGAGCTTGTTAGGTTCAAAGGTGGTTGGTGTCTCCAAAACCAGGGTTGTCTTATTTCATGTCTCAGAATCACATCAGTTGGCATAGCTCCATTGGAGATTAGTGGATCTATGATAAGTAAAATCATACTAAAGTCAGAAATACTGGAAAAAATAAAATAAAATCAGGGTTGTCAAGTCTTTTGTGTGGTAGCATTTAAAGTGCTATGTTAACCAGTGGTGCTTTAACAAAGACATACCACTATGAAAATAAATCAGAATTTATTGAAAATTTGTTTAATGCTGGTAAATAATTACATTGATTTTTTTTTTATGTTGTCATTGTATTTTGATTCATATTAATAAGCTAAAACTTTCTATAAATTCTATTAATGTAATTATATTGTTTTTAGCATATTGGATTGTTGTTGATACTATCACCTAAATTAAAAGTTAAGGCTATATGAGAGGGAGAGTGAGACTATATCCACAAATATATAAGGCGTAACAGAGGATATGTGTGCATGGGTGCTCACTTTTGCTGCAGACATATCTATGAATGTGGTGGAGCATACGGGGCAACATTATGAAAACTTCTTAGACATTACCAAACATTTGAGAGGATGAGGTATTGAGCCTGGGAGCTCAGGACCTAGTCTCAGGGGACACCATGGTCAATTTACATAACATTTTCCACAAGGACAATGTGTTACATCCTACTTTAGTAAGTAGCAACTGGGATCTTGAAAGTTTATGAGTGGCCATCGAAGGTACAACTATTGGTATGTCCCTGTGTGGAGGAAAGAAGAGTGATGAAAATTGAAGATGCATGCAGTTAGCTAATATAGTCGACTAATGAAACATGTGAACATCAGTCTCCTCTACCACCCTGAGATCAGAAGGTGCCCAGCTCCGACTACTAACTGTTTTGAAAGGGGTCGTGTTAGAAGGCTCTGGATAGAGTGGGAGAAAATGTGGAACAAAACTAAAAATTATAATAACCATCAAGCTTACTGATCAGAAAGAGATTGAAGGATTCTGAAACTATGACTCTTGTTGGTCATCCTTCAGGTCTGGAACTGAACTTACCCTCATGGCTCAAGTTGCAGCCAAACAGTACTAGATGGGTATATAGGGGGAACAGCAGTACTCAGCTATGGAATGATCAACCATTCAAGATCAAAAGGGCAGCATTTACCTAAGGACAAAGCGCAGAAGGGTTGGGAAGGAGTGTTGAATGGAAATAAGAATTGTAGGGAAGAAGTAAGAGAAGAGATGTTTTCTTTGAGGGGATTGTAGTCACTGAAAATGTGTGCTTTGCTGAATGTGAAACTGATGATCTGCTTTGTAAATCTTCACTCAGTTCACAATAAAGTGTTTTTTAAAAAGTTAAGGATGTTAAAGATATCTCTCAGCATTGTCTCTTACACAAATGGGAACCTGATACTTAGACTTTGAGCATGTGAAAAGAAGTCAGGATAAATAGATCTGCCTGGACTCTCTATTTTTAATATTGGCCAATATGTTAAAAAATTAATTAAACCTACTCTGAACACTTGTGTTTGGAGAATACAGAACAGAAGAGGAGAGAGGGAGAAGTCTTACATCAAATAAATACAAATAATGAAAGTGAAGTTTTCTCTTCTTAGGGAGTTGAGTTAGAGGGCATGGTGTGTCAGACACTTCACTATTAACAGTAAATGTTGGTTGATGAGTAGAATTTTGATTGGAAAAAGAATTATGTCAGCTAAGGAAAAGAGCAAAGGATTTCTTAGCAGTAAATTCAGTTAGAGTGTTACTTTTAAGTTTTTAGAATCACAATAAAAAACCTATATCTTCAAACAGCACTATACCAAGAAAAATATTTAGAAGTCTCTTTCTTAAGGCATTTGAAGAGGAAAGAAACCTTGTATTGAGAAGTTTTAAAGTTTGAGCAGAAAAGCTAGCTAACTATGTTAAGAATAGCTTAGTACTTTATAAGTTACAAAGGGCTTATAATACAGATTTCCCTTTTTTAAGCCTCCTAACAGTTGTATGAAGTAGGCGATATTGCTCTCATTTTTCCCATTAATAAGCAAGCAAGCAAAAGTTCCCAAGTATGAGAGTGGTTACCCAGTGAGTAAAATAGATTCAGGGTGTTTTTGTTTGGAGCAGTGACTGTTCTTTTCAGATAACACAACTGCCTTTTTAAGTATAATTTGATTTTTTGTTTGTTTGTGGGTTTTATACTTGTTTGTGTGCATGTATTTGTTT